TTCAAACGTTTCGGCTTATAAAATCTTCCTCAACGAAATACATACAATATTTTTAAATAACCTCTTATAAAATTAACGAACTTACAATAATATAATAATAAAAATTATCGTCCTAGGCTAATCTTACATACTTATTTCTTCATTTAGATGTTACAGATCGAAATAGACATCTAGTCAAAAGTCCGAATTATAAAAGTGTGTTTTACTAATCCTTGATTGTTATTGAGAATCCAGCTTAGGCAACGATTTTATAAAAAATATACGCTCAAGATTCCCTTCAACGACCATCCTAATATATTGTTAATTTATATATATTTATATATATTTATATATAGAATAATCTATTGAATTAAAATCAATAACTGTGTCATCGTGTATAATAAAACAGCTTTTGCTTATCAAACGTTTTAAAATGGACTAGATCAAAATTTTCTTATTTTTCAATCAAAAAATTTTGTTGTTACAATCAAAATTTGGTTAGAATAGTCAAATTTGAAAATTGATTAGAATAACTAAATTTTTATTAGAACACAATTTTTTAATTAAAAAATAAAAAAATTTTTGTAATTCATATCAATATAAAATTATAATTATTCGTACAAAACATTTCAGTGTATTTTTTTATCTTCTTTTTATATAATTAATTTCATTCAATTGCATATTTTATGCATCTTTTTTTTTACATCATTGATTTTTCGGCAAATTAATGATCATATTTAGCGATTACGCAGATATCGCACCTGATAAACACGTGAGCAATCTTAATTATATCCTATGATAATCGCCTGCACATATTTAACATGTAATGCGTGCGAACAATCTCGACAAGCGTGACAAATATGAGAAAGGGCAGCGATTACATTAAATTTACCGCGTCGCGTGCTAATTAGTTGCTCTTGTTATCGCGGTAACATATGAATTATAAGCGGAATAATAATAAATTCGCATCCATCGTGATTTCGCCGAACCCCTCTTGTGCAACAATAAGTAAATTTCATTTAACGGCGAGCTCGCGAGCGCTGTATTATTCAGATAATTACAAAACTTTTTAGTAATCAATTTTCAGATACGCGGAGAAAAATGTCTGGTTGAATTAATGAGAATTCTGATTGAAAATAGACAAATCAGAATTTTCTGATTAAATCTACTAGAATATTAGTAATCAGAATTCTGATGTAATCAGATTTTTAATTTTTTTTTTATTTGTCCATTTTCAATCAGACATTTTTCTCAGTGTATGATAACAATTTATGAAATGAGTTAATGAGTTTACGATTTTGGATGTTATGATTATGTAACGCAGGTTATCAATTTTTGGAAAAAAATTATCGGAATGAAGTAATTCAGAATATCTTGTCGGATAATTAAATGTTTGAGAGCTGAACTAAGAAAAATGTCTGATTAAACTATTGAATTCTGATTAAAAATGCACGAAACAGAATTTTCTGGTTAACTCTATTAGAATTTTAGTTAAGACAATCGAATTCTGATTGATATAATCAAAATCTTTTGGTTCACCCATTTTCAAAAAGATATTTCTTTCAGTACATACACTTTTAAATCTTTCATTCAAGACTTTCTACTATCAAAAAACAATTTGTGGAAATTATTCAAATTGCCATGAAAAACAGAATAAAATGTTCAATGAAAAAAAGATAAGTAGACACTCTCACAAAAAAAGAAAAAGAAGACATTGCGACAATTCGCAAAAAATAATTCTTGTTGAAATGTTCGAATATTATGTATTACTATTATGATTTAAATAAAGAGAAAATTAAAGAAAAGAGAAAAAGTATGATACTTAGAATTACGAAGAATTGACAAAAGAGAAAAAAAAAGAAATTTATAATTTGTCAATTTTTAAAAAGAGTCAAAGAGAAAAAGGAGAATAAGGAGAAGAAAAAAAAGTGAAATACGAAACAGATTACGTTTGATAATTTCGAAAAGTCGAAGCTTTGAAAGATTTTAGGTCTGTTTCTTATAATTCAGGTTTCTTATAATTCTTATAATGCTGCATTACTTGAATTGGTACACACAATGTACAATATATTTGTTTCACTTCAATTTATTGCCGGTTCAGAGAATAGCAATAAAAAATAGAAGAACAAGACCTATTGATTTATAGAAGATTTAGAGTTATTTTCAAAAATTCAAATTTTTTCAAAGCTTAATGAATCTTCGAAGCTCAAAACTAACAGTCCTAATTCAAAGTAGTGAAGCATCAACAAAAGAATAAAAGAAAATTAAAAGAAGAAAAAAAAATATTAAATAATATTAAAATGAACAAAATAAAAAAATTTTAATAATATTAAAAATATAATATTAATATTGTTTAATATTTAAAAACATTAACATTTTTTTAACATTTAATATTTTTTATTGTAAAGAAAGCTGCTTCTAGATTTTCTTTAATACTCTTGTTAACAGAAATCAGCAAGAAGATTTCACGAAGAAAAATATCATGATAGACTAACTGGGATCAATCCAATTAACTTTATACGCGCTCTATTCACAAAGAAATCGTCGCGCGTCGCGGATGGAAATTATTTCATACACAGATAGTTATCAAAGGAGCAATGAGAGATAACTCAATCCCTTGAATTAAATAATACTATGTTATTTAACTTGCACATGCGTCAAAATGTACATCAATCTTCTCTATTGTTAATTTCAAAGTAAACAATGTCCATATTAATTACGTATGCACTTAGTAGATAATAAACTAAATTTTAATCAACTCTAATACTCTAAATTTCTTGAATTAAATAAATTTAACTCTATTTTTCTTGAGTTAAATTATTTCACTCCATTCTTTTAGTTAAATAAACGTCACATTGAGCGGAGCAGAGAGTGGCGACCTATAGAAATGATTAAAAATAACTCTAGCTAGATAAAATTCATTATCTATGAATTTAATAATAATACATAATTAAGCAAAAAGAGGAAGAGGGAAATAAGAGTTCACTCACCTAGGGGTAGATCGCAGAGCAAGCAGCACGCAGCGATAGCACCCGCGGACGCGCCGCTTATCTTGTTCAACAATAAATGTGGCGCGTACTTTTTGAAGCAAACCGCCACACCAACATGATAGATGCCGAGGAAACCGCAGCCAGCAAACGACAGATTCATGTTGTCCTATCGTTTTGATCTATTAACGCGAACACCTTCCGGATTATTTTCCAAGTCGTATCTTCCTTCCTTTCCGGTTCGCTCCAGAAGCGTATCAAGTGTTCTTTCACGATGAACAACTGCGCAGTTTACAATGTTTTGCCTTAATCGCGAAAAAAAAAAATCACATTAACCACGGGATTCCGTCACTCCCGTGCGCAGACTATGTATGCGTGTGTATATGTGTTTGATGTGTACGGAGGAGAAAAGCGCGAAATATATACGTTTTCTTTCTCCAGAGTTCTTGATTCTCGTGCGTATAATATATCGACTTTCAAGTGCGCGAAACAATGCGAAACACGTGTTATGACGGTCGATCGTATACTGTCATCGTGTGAGCAACAGCTGTTCGTTTCGGATTAAGTATACCAAGCGCGCTGACGAGGAACAGAGAGAATGGGGATAAGGAGAGAAGGAAAGACGTATATACACATCATAACTATTACAAGATACCGGCTACACAGCGATAATACCCAGCGATAATACGCAGTAACGTGAGAGGCCACACGTGACGTAACGTCATACGATTGGTGTACACCGAGTGGTGTGGTTCACTGACCACGCCTATCATACGCTCGCCGGCGTTCGCAAAGGCATTGTGAATTCACATTTTGTTTATCAAGCAGGTCCCACAATCAATTCAAAACAATCGGTGCCGATGAATCATCGAAAAGTATTATTAAAGACTGACAATTCTATGAAAAACAATATAATATATTATATACCGTATATGTGATAATACAAACTATAGAAATCAAAGCTTTAAACAGTCTAGCTGGATCTTAATGCTTGTGTGTGTATTCTTATGTGAATATATATATACTATATGTAGTCTCCAGAAACGCGCGCCGAAATGATTTTGCTGTTTTGAAACGCTAAAGTCTATTCTACAATGTGCTTTTAGTTTCTTGTTTCTTGTTTTTTACTATTTTATACATCCTGTTTTCTTACTTCTTATCCGGTTTTATATTTTATGTCGCCCGAGATAAAAATTAACAAACTTCGAAAAAAACAAGAAAAACGTAGCAAGAAATATAATTGTCTATAAAACGGTTGCAAGAAAGACAAAAGTAAAAGATAAAAAGCAAGAAAACAGAAAACAAAAAGCGCATTATAGAATAGGCTTAACTCTAGTAACTACGCAGTAATATCACGAATTTGATTAGCAATTTAACAAATTTTTTATTTATTTGCATCTTCGAAACGATCTTAATAATGTCGAATGACATATTAAAATCTATAAATAATTAATTCTCATTGCGAAAAATATCTCGGCTAAGAGTCGAACTCAAATCTGTTGCATTTCGTGTGAGTGTCCTAAGTCTTTAGACTACCGAGACTCTAACAAGCGCGTTTGAGTGAGTAGGAGTTACGGTAGGAACATATTGAAACATGTTGGAGTGTGTGACACGAATAAATTTAACAGCTTGCATCAACATTGCTACAACGGTCCGTTCCGTTTCATTTATTCTTGTTGTTCATCGAATATTAAAGAAAGATATAAAAGATACATCATACGGAATTCACCTAACGTTTGCAACATTATTATCGTCTTACTAGAACGTTGCAATATTGCTGTAATATTGCTGGAATGATTATGCTGTATGTGTGCAAAATATATTTACTATAAAATAATAGATTTACAAACCGATAATATTCGATTTTTTTAAAAACAATAAATATAATAAAGAGCATGTAAAAGTCTAAATTATAAATGAATTAATTTGTAATTTAGACTCTTACGTACCTTTTATTATTATTTATTGTTTATTGAAATCGAGAGTTCTTTGTTATTATTAATTTCGACTTTCTTTATTAAAATTGCGATTTTATTATTCTTTTTAATTTATGTATTGTTACTGAATTTGATTGCAAATAACTGAAGATAAAGAATATATCAATTCATATTTATTCATATTCATATTTATTCAGTGCCGTTATGTACATTAAAATTCGTATTTACTCCTTTACAGGAAAAATATTATGGTAATTAATCATTATATTAGTTGGGTAAATAATTTTCCAATAGCACGTATGTTAAAAATTGTAACTCTTAGAAATTTAATAAAAAGTAATAATAATTTAATAATAAGATTGGAAACAAGACCGTTTATGTTAAATACATTACTTTAAATACGAAGCATTACTACAGTCTGAATGTTAAAATGTTGAACTATTAGGTGTACAACTTTGCTTCCGCCGTTTTTTTTCCGAAATTCGAGGCTTTATTGTAAAAAACTGGTTATACATTTATGATTCAAAGTATTGTCCATCGCTGGCCACTAGTTTCTCCCATCTTTCGGGTAGCGTACGAATCCCGCGTCGAAAAAACTGGTCATCTTTTGAGGCTATCTACGAATCGATCCAATTTTTTCCTTCTTCATAAGACCGAAAGTGCTGGTCAGCCAGGCCGTGTGCCATTGCTCGAAACAAGTGATAGTCAGAGGGAGCAATGTCTGGAGAATACGGCGGGGGGGGGGGGGGTTCCCATTTCAACGTTTCCAAGTATGTCTTGACCACTTTCGCAACATGGGGTCGAGCATTGTCATACTGCAAAATCACTTTATTGTGTCTCTCGTTGTATTGCGGCCGTTTGTCTTTCAATGCTCGGCTCAAACGCATCAATTGCGTTCGATACCGATCGCCTGTGATTGTTTCAGTCGGTTTTAACAGTTCATAATACATTATGCCGAGCTGTCCCATCAGCGGTCCCATCAAATACAGAGCATGACCTTGGACGTCAAAATCACCGTTCTTGAAGCGTTGAAACCACTCACAAAATGTTCTTTCACTAATAGCGGCCTCATAAGTATTTGAGAGCATTCGATGAGTCTTAGCCGCAGATTTCTTCATATTGAAGCAAAAAATTAAAATCTCCCGCAAATGACGAGAATTTGACGCGTAAACTGACATTTTCAATCGAGAATAACTTTATGACGCAGACACAAATCGACTAATGTTTCTATGTTATGTTGACAGATGCCCAAGTTTATTGTATGATGTCTATGATCTATTTATTTCGACCACCACTTACCGCTAAAGCAATCTATAGGAAATATTATATACAATATATACAATATTCATATAAATTGAATTGATTTCAGAAATGATAATTGCGAGCCGATATGATTGTCAGACTTTCAACGCAATCAATCTGAAATATTAATAATCTCCCAAATTTCCCAAATTTAATCTTAAAAAACTATAATAAACTTATTGCGTTGAAAGTCCGACAACCAATTATTATTTAAAGTAATGTAAATAATTTAATAGTAAAAAATAATAACTAATTACTTATTTTGAATAAAAGTACTTGTTTTTTAGTATTTTTAATATTTAAAATAAATAATAGCCAGTATATTAAATTGGATTTTTATAGGAGAACTTATAAATGTTCTGATTTTGGATGTAGAGCTAATTGTCATTTCAAAATAGAATTTTAATTAACAAAACTTACTCGCTTATTCTTTCTCTTTTATGGAAAAAAGTAGTCATGTCGTCGTTGTATGTATTATAAATTATTGAATTTCAAGAACAATTAAAAGACCTAAAGCCGACTATTACCAACTAAATTATAATTTTTGTATAATTACTTTTTTTCTCTTTTACAGATTTAAAAATCCTTTTCCAAGGATTTAAATAGGAATCATATATTAATACGTGTCTTGAACGACAAAAACTTCAAAATTGAAATCTTAACAAAAATTTTTTGTCGTTCTCCACATAAACTTCATCTCATAGACACATATTAATGCGTATACTTTAATTTTGGGAAAGAATTTTCGAATCTGTAAAAGAAGAAAAAAGTAATTGTTACGATTACAATAATTACGATTTAATCGGTAATATAGACTTTAGAATTATCTCAAAGAAGCATTTGTACTGGTCAATTCTTATATAGATTACGGCATACGGCATATACATAGTTACGGTCAATATAAATGCTCATTTAGGCTCGTAAAAATCTTAGCAAAAATAAAGACTGACCCATAAAAAAGATTATAAAAAAGCGTTTACAGAGACCGTAAACTGTTAACTGCCGTAAAGTTATGAGTTAATTTTACGATTATTTACGACATGCGTTACATGCATCCGATAAGTTATTATGAACGAAAACATAATAATTTATACTGTGTTATGTAAATGTGTTAATTGTAATTTATGATCTCTGGATTGCTCGAATATAATGAGCTTGCATAAAGTCATTGCGCTTATGCAGGTGCATGACTCTAACAGTTTTTTAGCATTTTAAAAGCCTTTAATATTCATCTTTAAAAAAGCGTATATGCGCTTATAATATGCTTTTTAAATAAATATTGAAGGCGCTTTTAAAACATAAAAGACTGCTATAGCCTGCATAAGCGCTTTCTGCTTTGCAGGCGTTGCTAGCTAGAACGATACAATTTAATGACTTCAAAAGAGAAAAATACATAAAAATGAATGCAATTATCGATAAAATAGCAAAATAGGTAGCAAAAAATAAAAGACAGAAGTAAAAAGCAAGAAGCGGGAAGGAAAGAATACATATTAAGCTTAAGAAATGTATATTATCCTAAAATATACAATATATCCTAAAATATAAAAATAACTCTTCAGACAGCACAGAATATTTATGATAAATATTTATTATTATTCATTTTTTTTAAATATATAAACATTTTATACATATTTTATATAATTATTCGAAATATTATTAAAAAATAGATAAATATTTAATGTAATATTTG